GAAATTCTTGGCGGTTTGCCTTGGCTTCACAGTATTTTTGGGTCTGGAGACAGAGAGAGCAGAGGCAGAGAGTGTAGAGACCTGAGTAATCAGGAGATTTTAAAAATCTTGTTTGTTTCTCTTTTCTATTTACAAGAAATTATTAATGTCTTGAGTGACTATGGAGGATCTAACTTCCAAAGGTGAGGTTGAGGAAACAAACCATAACCTCCATTTCATTAAAAGTGGTACTTAGAAGTGTTAAACTGTATTTTGTCCTCTCTTTACACATAAAAAATTATATATACTTATTACCTAGGAAAGCTGTTATCAGATGTGATTTTCAGGAATTGAGTTACCTTTTCAGCTTGAAACACAAAACTTCCTTATTAAGAGGCAGTATTTTTTTAATATCTCAACTTTTCCCAGAAATATCAGAACAGCTTTGAGTATCTGGAAACAAATGGTCACATCTTCTAAAAAGTGAGAAAAATTAAAATTATAAGACTGTTTATTGTTTAATTTGTGTATGCAAATCAAATACACCACATCAAGGTGTTTAACATGATGCTTCAGCCAAAGTAATTTTAGATTTAAGGGCTGCATTTCCAAACTGGTGGAAGGAATTTATTTTTGCGTGTAGGTGTGAGTTTCCCTAAGTCAGATTAAAATATTATATATGTGTATATATTTATGCGTATATATTTATGTATATATATATATATATATATATGTGATGAATGGTATAAATTCATAAGCTCTCACTAGTGTTTGTAACAGTTTCAATGAACAGGTGCAAAAGTATCTTTGTGATTCTGATCACTATGGATTTTGCTCAGAGGTCTTTTACTTATCTGCTGTTTAAGGCAGCAGTCCTCCTCTTGCTCAGAACTCTACATGGAAGGAGAGGGAGCGCAGTTTATGCTTCCCAGCACTGCTGCCACAGACCTTTGCAGCAGAAAGCAGAAAGTCAGGCAAAGGGGGTGATCTAGAGGCAGCAGAGTTAGCAGAGGCAAAGCCTGCTAACCTCAGGTCACCAGCATGTGAAAGGATTCCACCAGCCCTTTACTTCTTTGCTTGTAATACCATACAGCCATGTACACTGTGATTTCAGTGCCTACAGTAACAGCTTTTAATGCCAACATCTTCCCCTGTAGGCAGCACAACCCTTAAATTTGCTACTTGGGTTGTGCCAGCACCAATTTGGGAATCTCGATGCCAGGCATGACGATGCTACTTCAAGGCAGAGATCCTACAGGAAGATATTGTGGAAACTCTTACAGGCATTACTGAGAGGAACAGTGCATTACACAGTCTGCCAAAACACATGCCTGTTTTTTCCCACGCTGGCTTGCAGAAGAAGGCAGAGCAGCAGGGACGTTCATTTCCCCACGTTGGCAAATCCTATGTAGCTGTTTTGTACTATTCACACTTTTTTGTTCCCCTGCATGTCTTGAATAGGATTAATAAATGGAGTCTTTCCTTTATGCTCTGGTGAACTTTACTAAGACACTCAGAAACTGCGTCAGAAGTCTTAAATAGTCTTTCTCACTGGTGGTTCACTTGGCATCATAATTTCTTGTCTTCACAGAGGCACTGACACTTTGTCGGTGACAACTCTTGCTCTGTATCACCATCAGACTGTGTGACATATTAACTTTTGGGGAACCTAGAGGTTTTATTTGCTGAAAACAGATCTCTTTAAATATTGACCTCTCTAAACATTAAACATTATGGACAAACATCCCAGAATTGATGGTGTAGGGATTGCAAAATAAATTACTGTTTAAACCATGGAATGTGCAACATGACAATTCAGAGCAGCTGTCAGGGCCACCTCCAGCTACCCTCCGGAAAATACTCTCAGCTGTGACACTGATGCTAACAGTGGTTTCAGACTTATTCCAGGAAGCATTATTATCAAATAAACATACTGATTAATTGCTTTAATGACTTCAAATCAATCTCTTTTTTTTTCTCCTCTGATTTGTGGAGTTATTGCTTTGTGAAAAATAAAGTGACATTGGTCATTTGGGCGCATCAAAAATGAGATTATGTATATGTAACTCAATAGGTTTAAAACTTCAGTAGTGAGTCTTATATCTCAGTAATTTCCTCTCCAGGTAAAGAAGTATTAGTCAGTTCTTTGAGAATTCAAATCACTTTAGCATTTGTGTCTGTATTACCTCAGAGAGCTTGCCTAGGTCCAGTTTCAAGTTCTGTGAATCAGGCACCTTGCCTGAAGAAGAGAGCACAAATTCTAAGCCGTTACCACCCTCTCTGAATTTTCTGCCTTTTCTGTCTCCTTTTCACTACACATCAAAAAATAGGAAACAGCTGTTCTGTGGCAAGCCTCAGTAGAGTGCCATAACAATACCATAACCAATACTATACAGCAGGTATCTTTAATTCAGCTCAGAAACAATTCTTTTGCAAGCAAGCTTACCTATAATCCAGTAGGAAGACTTTTAACAAGGGAAGAACTTGCAAGACCGTTCCCAGACTGCAATTACTGCAGTATGAAAAACTGATGGCCTGTCTTTTGGAGAGAGAGGTAAACCATCCTTCTACATTGAATTTTAGGTGAGTTGAAAAGCAAAACTTTGAAGCAAACCTCCTGACTTTTCCCACTTACCATGCTGCAGAGAGGCCTTGAAGTATATTATCTGGGTTACCTGCGGGTAACTCTAATCCAGAAGATATGCCCCTGGAGTGCTCCAGCCAATGAGTCTTCTGTTTACAGGTCAGACCAGAATCAATCTGAGATTAATATTTTGTGGAATACCCAGTCCTCAACATCAATTGTTCTGTTTTATAGATCCACTCCTAGGTTACCCTACTTGTCAATGTAGGCACAGCCCAAATGATCTTCTGATATTCAGTTATCATTTTAGCTGGAATATCACCTTTGGTAGGTGTTGACTAATTCATAAATACACTAATAATTGGAAAAAACCAAACACCAAAACAAAACAAAGAAATGGTCTCTGATTCAAAACAGAAGTGTAACTTCTGTCTAATGTTTTTTCTTCTGCTACTGCAAAGCATGGAAGGGAAACACTGGGCTTCCAGCCACAGGCAGGATTAAAGCTCAGATGACTTAGGTCACTGTTACTTCATTGACTTTAGTGGACAAAATAACTACGTATTCTAGAGGAAAGTCTAGAAAAAAATGTATTTTGCTATAAGCACTGACTGCAAATTCAAAATTTAAAGGTAGGTTTTTAGTGACCACAATAAGAATACTACACCAGGATAAATAACAAGATTCACCTAGTTATTTTCTGCTCTTCATTCTAAGCCTCCCATTTTACTACATTAACAAGAGCAGGCTGGAAGTATTGTTGGTGCCATGGGAAACAATGGCTTCATCCCACAGAGCTCCACAGAACGTGAGCCAGAACCCTACACTTTAGGCTTCCCTTTGGATGCTAGATGTTTCTGTGTTTATCCCTCCGTCTATCTACATGCATATCTTCTCAACTCAGGCAGCATTTGGAAATTATTTCTACCTCAAAGTTTATATTTGCTTCTTCCTGTTTAAGGAATCTGTCATTGATCTGCTTTAAATGTGCAGAACATGTGTCATACCTCATAATTTTAAGGAAGTTTATCCCAACCTGCATTCTGACTAGCAGTATTGCCCTCAGCGGAAGCTGCATATTAGTTCTCCATGTAAAGATTTACATTTGTATCTTAGGTTTCCAGATCCTATTTCTAAGTGAAGATTGTTGTGTTGTAAAAGAATCTACCTGGAAGAATCTCTTTCTGTTTGGGAAAGAGATCCCTCCTTTGCACCTGCAGTTACTTAGGTGCGTTTCCCGTTCCCCATTTTACAAAGATCCTTGGCTTCTATCCTTCTCTTGCATTACCAATGCTGCTAGGTCTTGGCATGTTAGGGAATTTCTTTCTTTTCCCAGTGACCAAAGAATTGAAGACCTTCCTACCAAGTGCACCTGGAAGCAGGCAACTGGACTGCTGTGATATAAATATTGTTGAGTATACATTAAGTGGAATTTTACTAGGACTAGTTGAATTTTAAAATGTAAGTGGAAGATTACAGTCAGCTGAACTGATCTTGGATGACCTACAGATAAAGACACAGGTTAATTAAGCTGTAAATCTGTGCAGAATGACATAGCAATGACTGTCTGGAGGGAACTGTTGGTCTAACTTTAAGTAACTGCTGAAAACATAGCAATTCTAATATAGACATGCCCTTCCAAAGGGCATTAACTGTTATGCATAAGATGCCAGATGACTGAAAAAAAACATCCCCAGATTGCTGTATGTGAGCATGACACAGTTTATCCTGTAAAAAAACCCCAACTTTCCCACAAAGAGGTAGGACACAAACTCTTGGATTTTATTTTCATAAGAGAATTTGGACTCCCAGCAGCTTCTGAGCAGATTGAGCAGCGGTGCTGCTTTTGAGTCTGCCAGATATTGGATGAGGTAATTTTCCTGCCATCCCTGCTGGAAGTTAAAATCCAGTACAATTTAGAATAAAAACAGTAGGTAAATTGGCAGCTTTGGCATATGTGCCCTGTAATCTAAAGAAATCTGAATATTCAATTTTGCACCTGTGTTTGTACATCTCCAGATAACTGCTCCACTTCAGTCACAATGCTCTATAGTTAATCACTACCTGCAATGTCTTCTGTAATACACGTCCATGACACTATGCAATACACATGATTATAAACTTATTTACATGAAAAATATTTTCTTTGTGTATGTGAGGGAGACTCTTGATTTCCTACTGCCTCTTAGAAAAACTGCTTCTCTTTCTTTGACTCCATCTCTACTCTCTGCACTTCACACTTGGAAAGACTTTGCTGCAGGACTAACAACTTCAGTGCAACCAGCCATGGAGAACAAGCAAAACATCTCAGAAGCTGTCCAGCATTTCACCAATTTTGAATAGTTCAAAACCTTCCTGTGTTTAAAGTCAGAGATAAGCTTATGTAACTTAATCACACAAAAAAGTACTTTATCTAAGCATGACTTACCTAATGCTTTCTTCTGGTGCTACCAAAGAGTCAGGCTGAGTCTGTGACACAAAGTGCATTCAGAATTTTAAAAAGGAAACAACACAGACTCAAATCCTTATTCTTCCAGGTAAGAAAATCACTCAACTTGGGGATTATTTGGCAGAATTTAGAATGTATCAAATCTGACTGAAGATCTGGAAACTCAGCATCTTGCTAGCGCTTTTATTAGGGAAAACTACTCAAGATGAATATGATGATGACTGCAAATGCTTCATGATTGTGAATAAATGTAAATTTATGATTGGAAATAAAAATGCAACCAATGAACTGACACAGCTAAGAAATGCTTTTCTGAGACACACAGCTGCACTGCTGGACTGCCTGATGGTCAACTCTCAGACTGCAAACTTTCCTCTGCCTGACAAAGGGCATTCAACTTTTAAGAGTTTATTTGGCCAACTTTCTAGCTCCAAAGGCTGTTGAAGCATTTCAGTTTTGTTTTTCGCACGTTGTCAAAAGATTTTTTTGTTTTGGCTTGTGTGCTTTCAAAGGCAGAACAGAAATATTTACAAAGGCACTATTCATGTCAGTATTTAACTGGTGGTTGACAACTCTTCTTCTGCATGATGGTCAAAGCTGCTGAATTATAGCTTTGGCTGGAAGGAGCTGATGGTGAAATTAAACACCTCTCCCTCAATCCCAAATATCTACATATCTAAAAGGTCTTTTGTTGAAAGATTACTGGGTCTCGGAAAGCCAGGCAAGTAAGAAAAATACTTATTGTTTCCAGTTCTCTCCTCGTGCTTATTGCTACAGAGCGCAGCTCTGACCCTTGCACTCAGAGTAGGTATTTCCACCATTCTTGTCCTCATGCCATCTAACAGAGAGGTTGTTAGTTTCTGATAGATGTTTTGTTTCCTCCCACATCAGTTCAATGAAAGAACAGTGAAAGAAGGACGAAGTTAAAAATGCTGGCTGTTCTTACGCTTAAAAATTCTATGGTAGAAAAAAAGAAAAGTTGAAGAAATATCCCTTGTTAGGTAGTAAGACCTTGTTTTCTATATAAGAAAAAGAAAACAAAACAGACAAAACCCCAAAGTAGGCACCTATTTTAAGTTTTTTATCTTCTAACAAAAAGGGATACATTTTTTAAACAGTATTTACACAGAATTGTCTACTACAAGTAATTGCACAAGGTTTCTGTGAAACTTTTATCTTTTTCTAATATTTTGAGCTTTCATTTTTAAATTTACCATTTTAAAAGGCGAATCTTGAGAAGGCTCAGGGGGGACTCCATCACTCTACAAGTACCTGAAAGGAGGTAGTGGTGACATGGGGGCTGGTCTTTTCTACCGTGCCTGCAGTAGAGGAAATGGCCTTAAGCTGGGACAAGGGAGATCCAGATTAGAAAAAAATTTCACTGTTGTGGTGATCAGACATTGGAATAGGTTGTTCAGGGAGGTGGTGGAGTCACCATCCCTGGAGGTGTTTTAAGATGTGTCTGGATCTGGCACTGGATGATGTGGTTTAGGGGTTACAGTGATAGTGCCAGCCTTGATGATTCTGTTATTCTATGAAAACACTCACCTGAGTATTGCAAGACAAACATGCTGGACTTTGTGTTTCAAAGAGATGGAAACAACTTTGCTTTTATATGGGCCAAGATACTTAGAATTGTTTCCATTTCAGAGATGGGCTTTTTTATTGCTCCTACAGCGAGACAGAGTCAGCCCTAATATTCTACCATATAAGAATATACCAGGATTGAAGGATCTACATCTACATTAGCATTTCAATTGTTTCTTTGGTATGAGACTATTTATCTATTTAATGTTTCCAAATATTCTGACACGTCAAATAAATATTGAATAATTGAATCGACAGAAATATAAACATGATTATTTTTAAAAAGGCAAAAAGAGAGTAAAAAGGTGAGACAAGCAGCAAAAAGAAAATAGCAAGCTGCTCATAAATATGGATTTCCAATCCAGCATTTTGACAAAAACTTGTGTGATATTTTATTCTCTGGGTGCCCAAACTTAAACCAGCAAATCTTATAAAGGAGAACAGTTTTAATTGCTTTCAGAGGAAAATCAGGAAAATGATCCTGCCAGAATAAAATGAGAACTTTACCTGAAGCTATGCAGCCATCACTCTGGTAGCACCTGTGCACATGAAGTATGCCAAGACAAAATAAAAAAATCAACCCCATAAAACTTCTTAAGAATTCAGAAAGGAAATTTTCCCCTCTATATACAAGGAAACCTCTTCCAGCCCTACCGCCTTAAATGATAGTGCCTTACAATCCTCACTTTCTACTTTATATGCATCTAAGTCTTATATATACATATCTAAATACTTACATATAAGCAGCAACATTCTTTCAATTTCAGTTTTCCCCAAGATTTTTTGGAATTCAGGCTATTCCAAAACTTGGTTTCTAGGTTGCTACAGGAAAGGACTATTCTAACATTAGAAGCACACCACCTAACTCAGTACAACAGCCTTAAAAATTCATAGTAAACTGCATAAAATGGCTTCAGAAATGCATACCTGTTTTATGAGCACACTGTGGGTTGTGTCACAAGCATTACAGTATGTTACATGGACCTTTCTGTGGTGCTTTCAGCACAGTGGTAGCTGTGGTCAGGTGAGCAAGGCTATCCTAGCACTTCATCCAAACTCCCCTAGTCTCTTTTTACCAGTAAATGTGATTCCCTTCTTTCCCATGTCTGTTCCAGTTCTGTTTCTAGAACTACTTAAAAGTTGATCTAAACTATCCTTCTGGACAGCTATTTTCACCTGCATCGTGGGAGACATAGACACACAGTGGGCAGACGTAAACCACAAGCTGATCTGAACTATTTTTATTTGTTATTATTTGTATTTTTACTCTGCCATGCACAGTGCTAAACGCTACCCCAAGGAGCAAAACTTGAGTGGAAAAATACTCTACTATTTTGTCCAGAAGCAGTGAGTGAAGGTCTTCAGAACACCACAACCTCTGGTAGCTTTGAGCAAGTCATTCTTCTTTCTTTGCCTAAGGCTTTTGTCTCAGCAACTATATAGTAATTCTTCCTTTTTCTCAGAATTTTCTCTCTTTTTATCTTCAGAAACTGTAAGCTCCCAGTATAGGAAACTTCTTGCTGTGTCTTTGACTGGAACCAGAATGAGAAAACTCTGTTCACCTTCAACTTTCTATGCACTCTATTGGAATGACACTAAAGTAAGTGCTACAAAATTTTGGCCGGTTCTGTTGAGACCATTCAAACTAACATTCCTTTTAGCTGTTTTCAGCAATTTTTTTTCCATTGTGCAAGGTGGTAGTTTGAAATGTGTTATTGCTAAATTAGTTTAACAGTTCCTGTATAAACACACCTAAGTACCATCTAAACAGCTAAACCACTGTTTTTCGTGAGGTGCCTGGCTAGGGGGAATTTCCTATAAGAACTGACGTAATCTTCTGGTTGTGAAAGAGAGTGTCACCTGTGTCATCCCTGGGCTACATTGCAAAGGCATATCTTTGTGTCAACAAGGTGATGTGACCTGATGAGGTGATGTCCTCATCATTGATGCAAAAGTACTGGCAAACTGGGAGAACTACAGCTGGCAAAACTGGTGGTTAGCTTTGTGACTTTAGGTTGGGATCAGATGATGGGAACAGACACCTCACTTTAGACAACCAGAAGAAAACAAGTTTCAAATAGACAATGTTTTTGACATTACTTCTACATCTAGAGAAAAGGAAAACCTAATACACATTCTGAGTGAGGGCCAAATGCTGAGCCTTGGCTGGGTATGTCTAACTTTCACTGTAATCAGCAGGAACTCTGTGTGTGTTGAAGGTCAGAACTGAATCCAAACTTGAGCTCAGGTCAATATAACCATTTGATTTCACCATCTCCACCTAACTGTAATAAAGTAGAACTCAAACTATCATATCACTGACTAATGCATTTCATGTTTAAGCAAAGATACAGAACTTGAAATTAATGTTGTTCCAAGGAAATGAAGGTCAGTGGAAACCAAATCAGTGATTTGCTGTACAAAATATAAACCCCCCAGGTATTTATCAAAGTGTAGCTTAAATATTCTGAGCACAAGAAAGTACTTCTGAAGGAATAAGAGATATGCTAAGAAACCAGACATTAAAGCTGCAGGAGAAGAAACTGATGGATGGAGTTAAGTCAAGCATGTCACCTCAACTACAGTGCACAAGTTTAAAGAACAGCAAGCAATCTGGGAACTGAACACTTCCAGTTGGATCCAAGAAAAAAGTACAAGAACAGTTCTCCAGCCCTTTTTCCACCAAAGGGACAAATATTTTCCCTTTTGAGATGCCTACTGCCTTGAATATGCTTTGCACTGTCTACTTCCTCTGTGCCTGCCATGACATCATTGAGTTTTCTCCTTCCAGAACATCATGATTTTCATTCCACTCTCTGTCTTAGCTGTCCCTTAGCAATGTGACTGAATGAAGTGCAGGCTCTGACATACAGAATGAGTTAAAGTCCCAGGCTCTCTGCTCTTAGCAATGCAGGGTATGAAGTACAGGACAACTCTAACCCGTCTAGCAGAAGCACACAGGACACCTGCTCAAGTGCTGGTCACCCCTCTGTGCATCCTGTGAAGGCAGACAGACATGAAATGCTATTTTAAATCTAGTTCTTGAACAAGTAATTCTCATCTCCCACAGACTGTACACAGAGATTCAGATACAATTGTTGGGAGTTGGTTGGTTTATATACACACAGATACAGTTGGCTGCATATGGCAACCTGTCCTAAACTGGCACATCTCTCACTGTAATTATCTTTATTTAAAAAAAAATAAATAAAAAAATTCAAAGAATCTTTCTCACCCATTTGGGATACGCTATTTGATTATATTCTTAGAACAGGTAAAATTACCTCTCAGAATGCTCCCAATTTACCTCTCTGTGACTAATCAGTTTAACACAGTTTATATATTTAGAAAGTAAATGACACTTAGAAAGTAGAAAATTAGTAGAGCCAAGGCAAAATGTTAAATTAATCTGAAGTGTATGCATATTGTGAAACAGTTTTTAAATTTCTGTGGAGTGGATATTGCGTATTACAGTGTGTCATAATATGTTCTCTGTTTTAAATGGTATTACAATTTAAAATATTTTACTACTGAAGTAGAGAAGAACTCAGATCTTAAGAAAACCAGTCTTAGAGTAGGAGCCAATTGTAACTGTAGTGTTTTCCAGCTGCTACTGTGCAAGGTATCAGCAGAGCCTTTCCTGTTGCCTGCTAGGATTTATGTTACATTTAACCTTGAGCTGTTCTGGCAATGCAGGGCATGGTTCCACTTCTCTACTCCATCATGCTCATAGTAGTGTGATGATACATCATCAATACAGCACAGTATTTCTTCCAGGGCTCCTCCAGAAGGTGCTGGGCATTTTGTTTGCACAGACAGCAGATCTGTCTCTTGAATTCCTTCTTCTTTCTTCCCTTAGCAATATGAGACTTTTGAGATTTTGGTTGTAAGAATTAAAAGGACTCCCAAGAAAACATGACTTTTCATTATGAAATGCCAACTTCTTTGTTGTCTCAATATCCTCCTCCTTCAATGCTCTAATTGTAACCTCAGCATCCTAACTATTTGACTTAAAGGAAGGAATTGGATTTAATGCTTTTACGAGATCACTAAGGAAACAGAATCCTCTAACGTGCAGATGCCTATTAGACTTGATACAAGCACCATGGACTAGGAGAGACAGGCAAAACAATTAATCTCATCGTTTTGGTACATTTATTTAGTGCATTTAAGCCCTAAAAAAAAGATGTAGTTTGAAGATGTTTGAAAATAGTATGGTAGAAGTGGAAGAAAAATCTATACATCTATATATCTTCCATACTGAATGTGTTGTTTTGCCTAACCACTTAAATGTCCCACTCTTGCTTTGTTGGAACTTCACCACAAAATCAAATTCCCTCTCCTGACTGTAGCCCACAATGCATACAAAATATCATTAGGGCAGGAGGGGGTGGGAATGAGCAAGAGAAAACATAACATAGAAAGGAAGAAAAAGGAGTAAAAACAAAATGGAAAGAGGGGCAGAAAGGAGGAAATAAAATCAGATTAAGAGTGTGCTTTAAAATGTCTGAGTTATTTTCCCTGCTTTTACTCTAGTGTGTTATTACTGGCCAGCATCCAGCAAAGAAGACACCCTCAGCTTCAGAAGACCTTGAATCATAGTGAAAAATACAGCTGCAGACCAACTAGTGTTCTTTGGTGAATATTAATGTTACTTACTGGAATAAGGCAAAAAGTGGGAAAAAATAGTATCTAATCAGAACTTTAGGGGGAAAAAAATGTGTCTGTGTGGAAAACAGTAATTTCCAAGTTGAAAACTAACCAGGAAAGAGGCTTGAAATAGTGGAAAACAGTAAACAAATTCCTGTGAGATGAACTAACATTGTGCCCTGCGATGAAAAGTAACTGGAAAATAAAGAAAACAAGGGGTTTGGAGCCAGAACATCACAAAAACAGTCATGGAGTCTTGGATCCCAGATAGCCCACACACTTCTGGTGCTAGGCACCTCTTGGAAGAACAGTTTGTCTCCTGTTAGACTCATGAGAATTCACAGGAATTTATAAATCACAGCTGCCTGTGCTGGAGGGGATCTAAGAGATATAAAGAACATTACTGCATTGGTGCTGCTCTTTCCAAATGCACAACCTCAAAAACTCACCATTACATCACTGGGATAGAGAGACATCAACACCGCTGAATCCCATTCTACTTCTGTGGGGATCAATAGTAAAACTCAAGATTTATTATAAAAGAACTGATCCGAAAAGCTTTTCTGAAAATTGACATTTTCTTACTTTGCAAATTTTCTATCAATCCCATTTTATTGCTTTTATTTTTTTTTCCTTCAGGGTGATATTACCTTTCTATAAAAGAATTCCACCCCCATCAAGAATTTTCCTGTAAACCAATGGATTACCATCCTAGACATAAATTTCTCCTGAGATCAAATACTATGTGCTTATTATCTGCATACAAGAAAGAGGTAGTATCTGCTTGAAACTTGTCCATCTTTCTTAATTGTACTAGCTGGTCTAATGATTCTTGCAGAAAAGAATATTTTCTTTTGTATGGGTCTCTGGGGCATTATTCTTACTAATTGATGAACTACAAAAAGGGGTTATAAGACCCACCCTATCAAAAAGACTCCCCATCATGATTGTCTGTAAGTTAATTACCTTCCCTGTGCTTCATCTGGAAATGTGATGCCAAAGGATGAGTCCATGGAAACTACTGACATATCTGGAAGAGACAGTGGTAACATGAGGAGTTACCTGAGAAGTCAGCTGGCTTGTGAGGTCCTGTGTCAACACACAGGTAGCTAGTAAAGACTGTCTGCTTAGGACAAATGCCAACAGAGCTGCAGCATCCCAAAAGGATTTAAGACCCCAGCGTGTACCCCAGCACAGTGCTCCAATAAGTGTACTGTGATAGGTCTCTATCAATGAGCAAAAAAGAACTAGTCCACATATACCCATGATTCGTTCAAATAAGATGGCAATACTGGCTCCTATAACCTATGACATCTCCACCCTAGCAGGCAAGACCCTGTACTTTGGCCCCTAATAGGAACTTCATGTACTTATTAAACTAAAATAAATCTCTTGTCAGCACTCTTAATATTTGGTATAAGCTATTTGCATCACAATAACTTGAGTAGTAATAATACTGAGCAGTCAGCACTGCTTCAAACTGCTAAATCATTGCCCTTTAACCAATCAATAATTCCAGATCTTTCTGGGTATGCTTTCACCAGAGTCCTCAAGGGAATCTTGCATGTGGAGATCTTGTGTTCTCTTTGGAACCAAAGGCTGTGAGTTGATTGAAGATTTCTATAAAATATTCATTTGAGATCTGGTTTGTGTAAGCTGCTCAGGTCTTAGAACCTCATGACTACTGCCAGTAAGACTGCTTGATCCAAGGTCATCATCTTTCCTTCTTTGCTTCATGGTCCCTCATGCAGGGCTATTTAAATTCTCTTGTTTAAATACAGGGAATAATTTCCATGAACCCAGACTATGGCATAGTACACGGGAATACCTGTTTGCTAAATTAATGTGCTGCTGCTTTTCATTAGTGTCATGAAGCTGCTTTCAAGCCTGTATTTGTTTAACAACAAAGTCATAGCATCTGTGCAGAGGGTTAAAACAACCACTATTAGTTCCAAGTTGTCATGTTGGTGAGTATACCTAGTACAACTTCAAAATATTTTCTTTCTTCCCATCCTAAATTAGATGAAGGAGATTGAAAGTTGAAATGGTTGGTGCTTCACTGTTTATGGAGTGTAACCTTATTGGCACACTTTCTACCTTGCAGCAAGAACAGCTAAAAGTATGTGTACCTCCTCATGAACTCTGATGATTTATTAATCTTCATGTAACACATCTGGCACTAATTTCGGTGTGCCTTGCTGTGCAAAGCTGCAGACTGTGGTGGCTCAGAAGCACCTTCAACCTTCTTTGAGGCTCCAGCCTTTGAAAAGTGTATGGTCAGCTGAAGGTAACAACTGCTGTGCCTGTACTTTTTAAACCACTGGTAAGTCTTGGTCCTGATTGCTCCTCACTGAACTGTACAAATGTCTTCACACAGTTAATCCCAGTGAGCCTGCAGTCTATTGCAAAGCCTGAGCTTTGAAATCTCTTTGTCATATAATATCTCTGGCTCACAACAGAGATAGCAAATCCACCCTAATGATAACTGTGAAAATGCAGTTTATTTGCAATTGCTTGAGTTTTTTCAAATGACAATGTGAATATCCCTTACAGCTAGAGAGCAACAACTGTTTCAAATAAATGCCTTATAATTAAGGTAAACATTTAATGTTACAGTGACTCCATGACTCACCCATCTACTTGGGATCCTGTTATTAGCTGTTCTGCAGGTGTAAAAAAAGGAATTCCAAAGACAAGTCGTTATTTGGTCTTGTTTTGTTTAGAACTAACTGGTTTCCAAAACCCCACCTTTATTTTGCTGTGAGTCTATGGAAAGAATTTTCCATTTTTTTGGTATCATTTTCAACTCTGTGGAAAAGACCTGCACAAGTTCGGGACTTTTTGATTATGAAAGATGCTTTTATTGGATGTAATGATTGTGACTTCAGAGTCAAAGATTCCTACAAAATATCTAATGTTATTTCTTTCAAGAGTGAGCTTTCCCCATAAAGGCACACTTAATATTTCTAGGTCTTAGTTCAACTACATAGTCTTACAACAGAAGTACGAGGTAACTGAATGATACATTACAACATCATAGAATGGCATAGATTGGAAGAGACTTTAAAGATCACCTCTTTCCAACTCTGCTGCTGTGGGCGGGGACATCTCTCACTAAACCAGCTTACTCAAAGCCCTCTCCAACCTGGTCTTAAGCACTGCCAGGAAAGGGGCATACACAGCATCTCTGGACAATTTGTGCCAGTGCCTCACCACCCTCACAGTAAAGAATTTCTTCCTCTAATCTAAACCTACTCTCAGTTTGAAGCCGTTCCCTTGTCCTATCAGGACAATTCCTCATGAAGAGTCCCTCTTCAGGTTCCCTGTAGGCTCTCTTCGGATACTGGAAGGTATCTGTGAGGTCTCTATGCAACCTTCTCTTCTCCAGGCTGAACAGCCCGAACTTTCTCAGCCTGTCTTCATAGACATACATGCTCTATTAAGAGTGTTTAGCCTCCTTATATTTTAGCTCTCCGTGGAAGATGATATTTTTTTCAGACAGCTACAGAAATACAGGTGAGCTAAATGAGTGGGAAACTAGCATGGACTTTCAAACGTTTTGTAGAGCTATCTGCCCTGTCTGACAGAGTCACCAATTTCTCTTTGCCTCATTTCCCTTATAATTAAAGGACTTGATATTGCTCATCTGTCACGGACTTTATACATTAGGAATAAATAGTTTTAGGAGCTCAGATACTGAAACAATTGAGGCTATACAAATTACTTGGGCAAAATTTAGTTCACTTCATGATTCACAGTCTAATTCTCTCTAATTCTTTCTGATTCACATTCTAATATTTATAACATGCTTCCATGAGTCATAGAGGAATGGAGTGAATGATATTCATATTTCATATGACATTGCATATGAAAGGGCAACAATAGTTTACATTTTTGTACTTCATGCAATTCAATTTCATAGAGAACCTTGAGTTGTTTTCCTACCTGGTTTGAGAAATTTTACAATTGGAGTATTGCACTGTTTTGCAGAATGCCTTAACTACTGTGTCAACAAAAATGCCAAGTTTTGGAGTCTTAAAAAGATGACTTAAGCTGGTTTTTTTCAAGTGCTTTATGCCAACAGAGCAGGGGCCAACCTAAGGTTTTTATTTTTGCAAGGCATCAAAGTACCAAAGTAGGTACAACAAATTAAAGGACCTCCTTAATCTGTGTTTATATTGCATGAAGCAACAACGTGAAGTGCAGAAGCAGAGAGGCGTGCTATTTGTTTTAACTAATACAGTGATGTAGGATGAAGATTTTCCTCTCGCACTTGCCTGTTGTCTGGAGACTCCTGAACGTGAAACATTGGCTGTGAAAGCTTTTCCCAGGCAGTACCTTTTCACTCATCACTAACAATGTTTAGGAAGGGACACAGCTTGAAGTCTCAGGTGATAAATGTAACCAGAATCAAGCACTTACTAGTAAAGGCTGATTCAACCAGTGTAAAACATTGTAAGTCGGCTGACAACAGCATTGCTGTTCCAACCTATATTAGATAAAGATCTAGCCCAGAAAGATGATAAGGCTTCCTCCAGCCTCTGAGTTTAAATAGGACTAATTGTCCACATTTCCCTTGAAGCAAGCTTTTACAAATGCTGTTTTTTCTCCCTATGAATATACTTGGTAAATATTCTCATAACAGCAACCTGAGTCCCATTCAGAGCCCTGGTTATGACAGAGGAATAGCTATATGCCATGGATCTGAGTGCCTCCCAGTAAGTTTTTTTCAATAGTCCAGTGAAAGGTTCAAACCATACCTTCTATAACCACATGTAAACAGAACTCAAATGAACTTGATCTTTGCAGTAGCAACAGACCTTCAGCATTTACAGAAGTAGTTCTTTAATGTCCAGAGCTGTTTCTGCTCCTCAGAGTCACCTGTCCTTATGCTTGGGATGTGCACTTTCAGGGCCAGGCACTGAGAGAGTGATCAACAAGAGGTCTCTGCACCTGGCTCCAAGCACTCACACAACTGTTTTGCAATTCTCTTAAGGGCAAAACTGTATACGTGCCTTCAGATTTAAACAAGGGAAGAAGCATTTTTCAGCCGTCTTATTTGATCAAGGGCTCATTGCAAAAAGGTGATGTGTTGCAGGGACATTTTTTCAGCTGGGGAGAAAAGAGGAAGTTTATTTTTCTGGCTGTGGCTCTCAGAGCTGGACTTTTAAGTGACTTACAATGAAAATCAAACATTTTGCATTCACGATGTGACTTAAAAAGCAAACAAAAATGAAAACCCACAGATACCAAGGTTCTGAATCTGAATTCTGACTGTTAGCAGAGAACAGAATGTAGCTGTCTTTTGCAGCAGAAGCTTTTCTTTCTGGTCAGGGAATATGTTTTTCTCATGCTAGCTAGATTTATGGGAATCTCGGGGAAACTGGCCAGATAAGAGTAGCATGTGCCACACAATCCTCTTATGTCATTCCTCTAATCTTTATGAATTAAAGAAGCAGGTTAATGAAGTTTCATCTTGTAAGAAATACATTATTTCGCATGTAATCATCATGTTTTAAAATGTTCTGCACCACCACTGGCCATAGCTAAATCAATTAGCTAAACTAAACCTGGAGAAGAGTACAGGGGCCTGAAAGAGTAGAATAGGCATGAAAAAAAAACCTAACCAGGAGTCAATGAAAAGTATATACACTTTATCTTGGTAGTTCAGAACAGAAATTTTTCCTACTGGGAAGTGAAGCGCAAATAGAGTTGATTTTAATACTATTGTGTTCCTCTCAGCCTGCAATGAGACAGGAAGAAGGTACGCCTTAGATGTCAAGAAGTTAAGTTTTAAGAGAAAGTAATGCCCTCATCTGTCTGTACCAAAAGTTTTTAGTGAATTGGAGAGTAAAAGCAAAGACAAAACAGATCTGGAAAAGGCATAAGACGTTTCATTACTAGTTAAAAAAACCCTGAGATGTCTCTTCTGTGATATGCATGAAAGATCAACTACGTCACAAGAGTTTGTCTGTCCCTATTTTGGTGGCCATTCATCCCTGAAGAAATACCATATAGTATTAAGTACCCACAGGATTCAAAGATTAGAGATAAAATTATTGAACAAAGCTTCATAGGAACTACAAGTGACATGAATAGTCTCGAAGAGCTACTCTATGGTGTTTTTGCTGCCTTTACCAGACAGAGTGGATGGAGCTACTCTCCATTCACGGAACATAAGACTAATATTCAAGGACAGCAAAGTCTTTCATGAGCTAAACTGGCAAGAGCAGAGCATATAGTATGGTTGAAAAGCACTGACCTTCTGCTTGATTCGTTCTGCTCATCTCTGCAAATAGAGTCACTGTGGCAGGTCATCTCTTTTACCCTCGGAGAGGCTCTGTTCTTGCAAAACAGCTTTCACTTGGTCATGAGAGGAGTGTGAAAA